GTTAAATTATGGTTTTCATAATGTATGTGTTAGTGAACATTGCAAAGTTACTTTCTTCTGTCATGCTTATGAGGCAACTTTTGTTACACAGAGCTTGGAAGGTTGCTGGGTATTCAGGGATCCAAGTGACATGAGGTGTTCAGAAAAAGATGGGCGGGTAGTGACTGCTAGCGTGGTCCTCTGAGACATAATAGAAGTGCAGTCAGTCTGCACTTGGTTAGCACAGCATTTCTACCTGGTGTGGCCACCTCCTCGAAAGTACTAGCTGCTGGGGGAGAGTGCAATATTATGTAATTTAGACATACAAGGAAGTAAAATTAAATAGCCATGAGATGAGCATACCATTAAACAGATCTAATTTATAATGGACTCTTATGCAAATTGCCTTTGAGCGCTCAGCGAAAGAAAATGAAAAGAAATTAATAAGGACAATGTGGACTAAGAAGAAAAAAAAAAAGTGAAAGCCTCTTCAAACTCACTGTCTGCACACCCTGGAGTCTTAAATAAGCATTTGCATTAGCCACGTAAATGTAATGAGGAGATAGGAAAACCCGTGTTCGTTTTGTCTCTATGGGCCCAAACAGGTAAAACATCAACTGAAATACTTTCTTTTTCTCTCTATCTCTTTTTTTTTTTTTCTTTTCCTTTTTTAAATTCTCTGCCATGCAATCCTTTATTTGAAGAAGAGAAATGTGTTTCCATGAGTACTTTGTATCAGAGCTCAGTGGGTCCCAGGACTGGGTGCAACGACACCACTGATGGTGTGCCCATGCATCTCTGCCAGGCCACTGAAAGGGCTTTGCTTCTTTCCCAAGTTCTCATCCAAGGCAGCATATACTAAAGAAAAGACTCTTTTTGTGTATAACAATGTATGTAAGTATTTGTATGTTCAGAGAGCAAGGCTATAAAAACACTTAAGCTGTGTATAACAGCCTCACTGCAGACTGAGTGTATTTTTATATTTGACAAAAGGGACTCATTTCTGAAGAATTTGAGACATCCTGTAAGTGGTGTCACCTTCCCTTGCTTTTTATTGTAGAAATGCTGTTATGCGAGCACTGGGCTGTGGGAACAAGGGTCCATGCAGTATTTTATAGAAGTAAAGCACTGGTCTCCTCAGCATATCTTTGTTTTTTCCCCCACAGCACCAGGTTTGTGGCTGCACCTGTTTTATGTCCTTAAAGTAAAACCCAGTTCTCTGATGAGAGCTGACTTTTACACTGGTTATATTTTCAACCCTTTAAGCATTCGATTTCTGTCAGTGGATTATGATACTTAAAGCCATCAGCGTTAATTATTACCCATTGGAGGTTGCACTTTCAACCCATGGGACATTAATTTTCCTTATATACAGAAAATTCCAGCCTGTTAGCTTTAATTAAACATTTTAGAAGTATGTTGCCTTGTAAATGGACTACAATTTTTCATCCTTTACCCTTGATATTTGGTTAGCTCTCCATGTAATTATCACTTTGTTTTGCAAGCATCCTTCAAAGTACTTTGCTGTTTGGAAATCCATTCAGTTCTTATGTGTTTGGCAGTGAAAAAAACAAACTTATCTTTGTCAACCATCAGCTGAAGTTGTCTAGAAAGAGATGAGGAAAAACATCTTCCAGTTTTTCTTGGTAAGTGAAACATGCCTTCACAGTCCCATCTCATGCCTGCAGCCTGGTGTCACTTAAGCATTTGTAATTTCAGCATGAGACCAAGCAGAATGAAGAGCAACAGAGAGGAGAGGGTCTCAGATATTACCCAGCGTGCAGAATGAGGCAGGGCTCAGTCACAGTTTGCTGCTGTGCCTCTTTCCATTCCGTCTCCTCTCCTGGCAGGTGCAACAAATTTAGCTTAGGCCATGCCCCAGATTTGGGCACTCAGTTATCACAGGCCTTACCCTGGAGGGGCCACAAAGCTGGAATTTGCTGTTCTCTATCTGAAAAAAAAAAAAAGAAAGCTACCATTACCGTTTTATTTCCAGAAGTCTCCCAGAGCATCATTGTTGCAGTCTGAATCTGGGAAAGGGACAGGGGATGAAGTTGGCACTTTGCAGTTCTTCGGGTTTTTCTGCTGCTGGAAAGCAGCTGCACTCAAAGGTGGCACTTTGTTGGCTCTCCCTCCCAGGCCATCTGGGCTGGCTCTCAGGTGTTGGTGCTCTCTGTGATTTTTGTCAGAAGACTCCATCCTCTGATAATATCTTACTTTTCTCCTAAACAATTAATAAAATGAAGGCAAAAAGCCTAGAGGTTTTAAAATACGTAATTATAACAGTAATTTAGAACTAGGGTAAAGCTGCAGAAACCAATTACAATTATACTTTTCAGTAATGACTGACTTGGCCAAATGTATATGTTTTGTGTGTGTATTCTGTGATAGATTCCAAGACAACATGCTTGAGTATGGGGGAAAATTAAATCTAAATGCCTTATGTTTCCATATTAGACATAAACGTTGCTCATCCACCTAGTGAACAGGAGCCTGCATTATATGGCCTGTCACAGCTTACATTTTGACTGTTGGGGCAGGCAGTAACAGGTAGCAGTGGGAGAAAGTTTGAATTGTTCGAATCTAAGGGATAGCTTTGAGAAGAAATTGTTTTGTGCTGCTTGGATCTTTCTGCAAAATGTGTTCAGTTTCTTATATCTTACAGATTTCAAGCCACTTGAATTGATTCTGAATTTTTAATGGCTCGCTGAGGTTAATGGGTTTTTATTTCTTTCTTGGTCTCACCTCTTCTAGCATTACGTGCATATAAATGTGCAGCATTTATTACTGAATGTACTACAGAGATGCCTGCTGTGCTCATGTATGCCATTTCAGACTCCATTTGGGTTGGCTGTGACATTTCAAATGGATGCAGAGCATCCTTGGGTCACATTCTACCCCGAGGTCAGGGCAATCCTAAATGTGGGTACAGGCTGGGCAATTAGTGGATCGAGAGCAGCCCTCTGGAGAAGGACTTGGGGTACTGGTGGGTGAAAAAATGGAGCCAGCGGTTTATGTTAGCAAACTGAAAGTCTGCAGTCCAGATGGTCTGCATTGAAAGAGGGGTGGCTAGCAGGGCCAGGGAGGCTGTTGTCCCTTCTACTCCATCCTTGTAAATCCCCAGCTGGAGTATTCTGCTCAGGTCTGGAGTCCACAGCAGAGGATGTAGAGCTTTGAAGCGGGTCCAGAGGAGGGCCTTGAGGATGATCAGAGAGTTGGAGCACCTCTCCTACAAAGATAGGCTGAAGGAGCTGGCTTTGTTCTGTCTGGAGAAGAGAAGGCTCTGGGGACGCCTGATCGTGGCCTTCCAGTACTCAAAGGGTCTGCAGGAGAGATGAGGAGGAACTATTTATCAGGAAGTACAGTGACAGGAGAAGGAGCAATGCCTTTAAACTAGAAGAGAGAGCTTTAGATTAGACTTGAGGAAGAAACTCTTCACTGAGCAGGTGGCGAGGCACTGGCACAAGGGAAGCTGTGGTTCCCCATCCCTGAAGGTGCTCAAGGCCAGCTTGGATGGGGCCCTGAGCTGCTGGGTGGCAGCCCTGCCCATGGCATGGAGGGGACAGGGTGGGCTTTAAGATTCCTTCCAACCTAAGCCATTCTACGAGAAAATGAACCAGGGATTGACTGCCTCTGAGTTACATTGAGTTTGGGTTTTGGTTTTGAGGGCTCAAAGCAGCCTCAGGGTGGTGATGAGGAATGGTTGTTTACTCACATCTTCTTTTAAAAGGAAAACAGTGTGCTGTGGTTGTTCATTGTGCTTGCTGGATCTGTTTGTGAAAAGACAGTCGTGTACATTGCCTGTGTCACAAGCTGGGTGTGATCAGGGAAAAAGAGTGCCTGTGCCTCACCTAGCTCCATGCTGGTGTACATTGATGTTATTGACTGTTCCTTAACAAAATGCATAGGATCTTTCGTGTTGGTTCACAGATCAGATTGGGTATATTAGGACAAGAGCTACATACAAATGAGCCTTTTCATTAAAACAATGAAGGCACAGAGTCTGCAGAATATTGCAGAATGCAACAGCTTGTGACAAAGCTCTAAAATCATGCCCATGTGTCGGTAGTATTTCATGCAAAGTGTCCACGTGACGTATCACAAGTTAGCTATTTTGAGACCATTTTGTTTACAGTTCTTTGGAGGGGTGGGTGGTGTCATGAAGAATCAAAAAATACCTCCACATGCACGTATAGGCACGTAAACATGCACTCCCAGTCAGACATACCTGTCATTGCTGTTGATTTCACTGGAAAATGGTGAGTGACTCAGGAGATGTTTGCAAACACCTCAGCACAGAAACGTAGCATGCATTTCTTGTTACTGAGGCTGATGTTTTGTTCCCAGTTTTCAGCCCTTCCCGTTGCTCTGACTAAATCGGGTTTTGTGAGGAACATGTGTAGAAAGTGTGTGTTCAACCAGCAGCTGGTGTTACAAGCATTTTTAGCAAGTGAGATTTTCTGGGTTCTCTGGGTGACTGAGTGGTCTCTAAAAGCTGAGGTGTTTCTTCTGGTTATTTTAGAGCCTGGTGATTGATACTTGCCACAAACTGTTGGGTTTTGCTGTGAAATCATTACCTCCCATTTAAACACGATAACTTTTACATCCTTAGCTGCTTATTCCTACAATGTGCTGTCCCCTCAGTTATGCTGGTCTAAGCGTTAGCTGCAGTAAATGGCATCCAAAAACTGATCTGGGTTTAAAAGTAAATTAATAATACATTAGAAATAATTAAAAAATTTTTCCTGAGTGCAGTTTTTAAGCCATATCAAGTTCACCGTGTGCTCCCCCAGAAAGCAGAATGAAACTGATGGAGGAGATTGCTGCAGCAGAGTGGGATGGGGTCTGCTGGTGAAGCCACTGGGAGATATGTCCTAAATGGGATCTGCTGTTGAGAGAGATGCCCAAAATACTCAAGGGTTGTCCTCTTATGAAACACGGCTTTGAGCAGAAGGTTTTCCTAATCACTGCCAAGCCGCACATGGTCTGACCCTGACTTTTGCCTCTTGTTTCCTCTGCAGAATCGGCAGACTCTTTGATGGCACGGAGCCCATCGTCCTCGACAGCCTCAAGCAGCATTATTTCATCGACAGAGATGGGCAAATGTTCAGATATATCTTGAATTTTTTAAGAACATCGAAACTCCTCATTCCTGATGATTTCAAGGTGAGATTTCAAAGGACTTGGATATTTTGCGTGTACTTCAGTAAAACAAGAATCTGTGATCAAACCGGAATCCTAGACAGGGGGCACAGCTAGAATATGGTGCTTGATTTCAGGTACTTTGCAAAACTAAGTGTGGCGTTGCTGCCATAGCATCTGTCAGGCTTTCCTAGAGTGACATCAGTGTTAAATTATCCCCTCGTCTGTAGTGTAATGGAGCAACCTTGCCATGTTCAACCTAGGGAAGTTAAAAGTCATAGTATACTGAAGGAGACAAGAAGGGATGTTAGCATCGGTAACCAGCTTCTCATGAGCCTTGCCGGTTACTTGCCTTCTAGTCTTCTCTTATCGTTCTCTTCAGATTGAAACAACTCCTGCTTCCACTCCCACACTGAAATTCAGAAAATTGTTTGGGAATCGTAGTACTGACAAAATAAACTGCACACATGGTAATGTTCGAACATTATGTCATAGACTGTTTTCTCCTCCTGATCCTTGGTTTATTTAATCTTTATTAAAGAGTCTGCTTTTCTCTTTTTTAATAGCAAAGTAAACTTGTGATAGTTCACCTAGACATCAGCCTGTAGATGCACAGCTTCAGACTCTGTGTTCTTGCAGGTATATCAGGTATATTGGTGTAGCTGTGGTGTCAGTGTAGTAAGTATTGGAGACAACAGTTGCAATTATAAGAGATTTTAATTGTTATTTATGAATGCACATCAATGTAGCCAGCTGGGCAATTGGATCACTGTAGGACATACAGCAATTCAAACTGATCAGAAGTGGTGCTGTGGAAGGGTTAGAGCAGTTCACACAGCAGTGCAGTCTTTTTATCTTTTGTATCTGAGACATTTTGAGGTGTTTGGGACATAACGGGTGTGAGCTTGAGTTCAAGAGCAATCTTTGAATTTCTGCTGCAAATGTGTACTGCTCCCATGCGTGACAAGGGCAGACCTACCTGAATATTGTGCGAGTTTAGAAATAGCTGATAAGCGTCATACCCCTCTTTTGAAGCCTTAGAATGGCATTGTGCTGCTCTCTGCTCTTGTCCTGAAGGTAATCAGAAATATTGAAAAAGGAAAAGCCACTTTCCATGCAGTATTAAGAAGTTATATATGCAGAGACCTTTAACAACATAAATACGCTGTAGCTCTGCTGAAATTAAAAATGTTAACTTCTGATCCTCTCCACTTGTGTTGCAAGTCACCTGAAACGTGTTTAAAATGAACTGCAGCACTCATTTTTCAGAAATGTATAGGTTAGATTACTTTTCCATTAGACAGTAGGAAGTATTCTGAATATGACTTAGGTTTCCCATGTTCATCGAGTATTCAGTCTGTAGCTGAAATTTAGGGCTGTATTGACTGTTACCAGCCTTCTTATTTGGTCTTCCTATTCCTCTCCCTTGCCAAAATTCTCTTGTATTTCTTTTTCCCTATATAAATATTTTCCAAATTGTCTTATGGTCTTAAGCCTAGATCAGTAATATTTGTTTTTTTATTTAAAATGCGATGACAGACAAAGTTCAGACCGACAGGTACAGCCATGCTTAGAAATGCATTCTGTCTGCTCTGGTGTGTGAAATGATGTAGTGAACAATACTGTTGGCAAAATAGAGAGGTACTAAAAGATCCTTATTTTTTTTAAATGCAGTAGTATGTGCAATTTATTATGCAAATTTCTTAACCATTTTGCACTGAACCAATGCAGGCTCCCTCATTTACATTCTTATACCTGTTACAGTGGCTGCCAGTATTGCTGTAAGACACAATGGATCCTAATGATGAATTTTCTGAATCCTGATTGAATTCTGTTCCATCTGCTTAATGAGGTCATTATCTTATGACATCACTGTTGGAATAAAAACAGAGGGAAAAGTGGGATGTGACTTGCCTGGGTTATTCCACAGCATGAGCAAATGCAACTTCCCCCTTCCCTTACAAATGCTGGTCTGTTTCAAGCAGCTGATGGTTTTATTACTATTTTTTGCTTGCACTGTTATTTTATTACACCTTCCTACACAGTATTTATGAGCTATGTCTGAAGGGTTCCAGAGCTAGAGCAATGTTAGCCTGAATAACCGTATACATTAAGCAGTACATTAGCACTGCCTCTTTCCTAACTGTGCACAGTAACATATGTGTCTTTCAGGACTACAGTTTGTTATACGAAGAAGCAAAGTATTTCCAGCTTCAGCCCATGCTAGGAGAGATGGAAAGGTGGAAACAAGACCGGGAGAGTGGCCGCTTCTCAAAATCTTGTGAATGCCTGGTGGTGCGTGTTGCCCCAGATCTCGGTGAGAGGATTACACTGAGTGGCGATAAGTCATTGATAGAAGAAGTGTTTCCAGAGATTGGTGATGTGATGTGTAATTCTGTCAATGCCGGCTGGAATCATGACTCAACGCATGTCATCAGATTTCCGCTGAACGGATACTGCCACCTCAACTCAGTTCAGGTAGGAAAGAGCTTACCGACCAGGTACCTGTGGGCTGATGTGTTCCTCTCTCATTGCTGGGAATTGCATGAACAAAACCAGCTGCCGGTTCTGAGCTAGTTACTTCTGTGGGTTATGGCTGCTTTCTCATCTTAATTCTCACGCATCATCACCAAATCTCTTCACAAAACAAGTTACATTAGTTGAAAACTTGCTTTAACACCCTCAAGTGGGGCATCTTGGTGGGACTTTGGCCTTTCAGTGGGACTGTCAGGTGACATGCAATGTGAAGAATTCTTACAGAGCACTACCGGGGAAGTTAACACAAGTGTGGTAAAACTGGTATATAATTTTCCCAGTGGAAAAAAGTTCACACCCATCTGCAACTAGTTAGCACATCATGCACAACCAGCACTTTGGAGTGAAATGCTTTTTCATGGCTGGGTAGTCATAGAATCATAGAATCATAGAATCACCAAGGTTGGAAAAGACCTAAAAGATCACCCAGTCCAACCGTTCACCTATTCCCAGTAGCTCCCACTAAACCATGTCCCTCAACACAACATCCAGCCTTTCCTTGAACACCCCCAGGGTCGGTGACTCCACCACCTCCCTGGGCAGTCCATTCCAGTGCCTGACCACCCTTTCTGAAAAGTAATACTTCCTCATGTCATTTTCCAAGCCATACTATGATTCTATGATGGTCTTTGGTTTAGCTGCACCTCCTTACGCTCCACACTCATGAGCAAGTTCTTACCTGAAGGAGCATTGCCATCTGAGCTTGACATCTTCCTGCTACCGAGTCCTGCCTCCAGGTAGCAAAATTCTGTCCCCCTTTTCTGATGCAGAGGAGGGCTGAGCATGGCAGCACATGCTGAAGGCTTGTGTGGTGCTGCATATGTGCTACTGCAACATAGGAATACGGACAGATCTATCTGAACTATCGAGATGTGGTTAATGCATGCTACGGTCAGACAGTTGTGCCTCTTACTGGCCCCATGGTCATACTGAAACATCAAAGCTCTTTTGTCATAGTGACTAATGCAAATTTAGAACACCGCTACATGCAAGATTATAACTGAAAAGGGATATGAATTTCAAGGAGAGTTGTCTAGCCACATGTTGTATGAGAGTTGTCAAAGCAATTTGTCCTTTAGCAGTTCAGCATTTGTCCCGATATTTATGTTTTTATCACACAAATAAGAATTTCCAAGCCTATTTCACGATAAAAAGTAAAAATGGCAACACGTACATAGACTTCAAGACAGGTGATGATCCCATGCTGATGATGCCACATGTTCCATTTTTGGTGTCCATAATCATCTCCCCATCCCCAAAACAGTGTGATGTAGGACAGTGACTATTTGCAGACCTTGAGAAGGAGACGTAGACTCAGTGATTTGCCCAAGGCTGAACTAGATTCCTGACCCATTGCATTTTTTCCCAGGACCTAATTTCTCCTGCTGTATTTTCCAGTGGCTTGCATTGAGACATACTTGGGGAATGTAGACTTAATGTTGTTAAAAGCTAAGGATCACGTTAAACAGAAATTGCTCTGAAGTTTTGATGTTTGTTCTTCTTTCAGGGCTTCTTTCCACCTCCTACTTCTTGAGATTTGTCTGCTCTTTAATTAACTGTATTTTGGAAAGACATTTGCTGACCTGAAGCAGTGCATGTAAAAGCATGGCATGTCTTGTAGTTCCGAGCATTTTAAAACCCAACTTGCTCCTCCATCTTCCCCAACCCTCCCCTTGCAAGCCAATGTGCTAATTGGTGGCACAGTGGGACAAACACTGTATTCCCCTGCCTTCAGGTGTGTGAAGAGAGCAGTGAGAGCAGTTGGTAGCAGAAGGGAACCCTGCAAGTGTCCCTACTTCAGCTAAACATCAGTGGGGTATTGTCGGTATTGTCCTTCTGGACAGAAGTCCCATGTCTCTTACTGGTGGGAGACAATAAAGCCCTGGCAGCAGAAGAGACAGGCATGGGAAAAGTAGCAGAGTCTAAGTAAGGTTAAGAGCACAGGAGTTGCAGGAAAACTTAATAATAACAGTGGAATCTTGTTGTGGAAGAAAACTTGGCTCTTGCATGCTTTTGGCAGTGTGATGCTAGGACCTGAGCTCTTAGCCCGTCTGCTTGCTGGGTGAACTGCATGGGTGCGTGCCCTGCTGCCCACCCTCCTCCTCTCCTCTCCTCTCCTCTCCTCTCCTCTCCTCTCCTCTCCTCTCCTCTCCTCTCCTCTCCTCTCCTCTCCTCTCCTCTCCTCTCCTCTCCTCTCCTCTCCTCTCCTCTCCTCTCCAACTTTCCCTTTGCTCTTCACTTTTCTATTCTCTTCTCCTCTCCCCTCCTCTCTTTTCCCCTTCCCTTCCCTCCCCTCCCACTGGAAGCAACACTCATGCTGTGAAGATGAAGGTAAGTAGGTGACTGGAGAGATTTAGTTCCATCATTAAAGCTTTCTAGTTTTTACCACTGGTCTGAATACAGGCACAGATCTTTGCAGTTGTGGTTGGTTTTTTAGTCTTTAGAAGATACAGACAGTCCGCTCATTACTTAAACCTTGGTGTTTGTTTCCTGTTTTTTCAGGTCCTTGAGAGGTTACAGCAAAGAGGATTTGAGATTGTTGGCTCATGTGGAGGTGGAGTGGACTCTTCCCAATTCAGTGAATACGTACTGAGACGAGAACTCAGAAGGACATCTCGTGCACCCTCCGTCATTCGAATAAAGCAAGAGCCTCTGGACTAAAATGGACATGTTTCTTTATGCAAAAAAAAAAAAAAAAAAGAGGAAAAAAAAAAAGAGAGGAAAAAAGGGGGAACGTTTCATGTGCAGTTTGGACTCCAAACAAGTCCTGCAAGTGAATAAAAGACACATTTATATCAAATATAGAGACCACACCTGAATTCATATGGGAACACTTGGAATAGTGGTAATAATAAAAACCTCAAGGTGTAGAAGAAAATACAGCCATACATATATATATGTACATACATACGTATATATATGTATGCATACATCAAAGGGTAGGAAATGCAATGACAAACAAGTGGTAGATGAGGTTGGTGCTGTGATGGCCATTAAGTGTCCTAAGACTTACTTGGGTCCACTTAATGGTGTACAAGCCATTACCATGGGGGGATTCATAGACAGCTCATAACAAATTTTTCATTTCCAAACACTCATTCAATTTTTAATGTCTACACACCTTGATTCAACTCTACTTGCATATGGAGGTTTTATGTCTGTCTTTTAGAGGTGGATGGGCAGGCGTTCAGGAGATGACCATTCATTGCATTGAAAAGCTACTCAAATGAAATTTTAAATGTAGTTTGTACAGAAGTCGCACACGTTTTGTCTGCCCTCACAGATGTGAAAGCTTAACTTTTCTTTTGAATGAATTTTTTGGGTTTTTTTTTTTGTTTTGTTTTGTTTTTTCATTTTGTTTTGTGTTTTTTCAAAGGGGGCCAGAATAATTAATATTTGGTAGAGATGCTCTGGTTTGAATCTGCTGCTTTCCTACAATTTTTCAAATTTTATAATGTATTAAATACAATAAACTCTGTTTAAAGTAATAAAGGTCTGATTTCAGCCAGCAGGAGCAGAGAGGTGGGGTTCAGCTCCCTGCGCTCTGGCACAGTGCACAGAGATGAAGGCAGCAGGCGTTGTGCGGGCATTGTGTTCTGGGGTCTTCCTTCAGGACTGTCCTTAAGATTTGTCCTGGTTTGAAGAGACAAGCTCAAAAAACAGCACCAATCCAGCCCAGGGAAACCCATCTGAAATGGATGCCTGAGTTTGTAAGTGTTGATGTAACAACGCTTGCATCATTTCCTCTAACTGAAGAGCAGGCAGCTTCCATTTTCAATGACCTTGCCCTGCTGCATGTTAACCAGCCAGTTTGTTTTCGTGCCCTTCATTTCCCTTGTTCAGACCTAGTGTTCTTCTCCCTAGGGAGTGAGCCCCTCAGCTCCTCACGCTGCACCGTGGCTGACAGCAGGCAATGGGTGAGTCCTGCAAGGCCATCCTAGAGCCAGCCCAACTCCATGAGGCCACCACATGGCCCTCTCCCAGGGAGATGCTTCTGCCACATGAGATGAACCAGCAACCACTTTCTTTCCTCTGAAGTACCTTTTTATGCAATATTCCAGAATATGACTGTGTACTCATCCCGGTATGGAAGTTTCTATCGAAGCAGTGGTGCCGGCGTTACATTCATTTTGGTGACACTTTGCTATTTATTTAAGAAAAGAAAAAAGAAATTGTTGAAGTAAATACATGTAATAAGGTTTTTAATATAGTCTGATAACTCAAAGCTACCATTTTTTTCTGTTTTCCATTGAAATTTGTCAGAGGGCATACTTAAATAGCTCTTTGGCAGCACCTATCAATGGGGTTTTGAAACTACTGAGATATGGAAATGGGTGGAAGGGGGGGCTCCATAAATGAAGATTCCTGAGCAGGTTATTGGGTCTTCAATGTGATGCTGATCTGTCTACTCACAGTACTGAAACAGCTGCCTCACTGAAAGTGCTTGTTTTCAATCAGCAGCAAGTAGTCCTCATACCAAATAAATGCTTGCTCTTTCTACCCAAAATTTGGTTGTTAGTATGCATAGAAAAGTTTAAAAAAAAAGTTAAAAAAAAAAACAAACAAACAAACTCTGGGAAATAAATACTTTTAACATCTCTTCAGACTTCTTGAATTGAACACTGTTGACCTGAAGCCAGTCCTGCAGGCTGACAACACACTGCCCAGTACTGGCATGAGGTGATGTGCTGTTCTGGGGACAGTTTGCTGCAGAAATCCTTCCTGCTCCCCAGATGCAGCCCTGTGTGCACCTGAGGACACGTTTCCATCTGTTGAGCCCAGAGGTGCTCCCAGATTAAACACTGCCAGCCCCCACGCACAAGTATGGGCCTGGGCTCTGGTGCAAGCTGGAGGGGCTGGTAGCAACGTCAGCCCCAAAATTGTCCTCATGGTGCCTTGCATGTGAGATGCAGGCAAAAGGGGCACTCACTCGATGTTCACCCCACTTTTTACCATCTGTGATACTTGTTGCCTTGCTCCCAAAGCAGAAGGCTGTGCTTGGCTGGCAGTTGTGCTTGCTGTATCCATACCTGTTCAAGCTGACAAGCACCAAGGCCACCTCGGTGCTCTGTGTGGCACCTGGATGGCCGGGTGGCTTCCCACCAAGGCCACACGCATTGCTAATGGAGCCATAAATCACCCTTTGACCCTGGACGTGAATGTCACTGTGATAACGGTGTAGCCACAAAGTCAGAGGTCGTAAGTAAACACAGCCAGATGCGCAGCAAACACTACACAGCAGCGAGCTGGACTGAGAGAGGCAGTGAGGTTGGTTCTGGGTACAGCCCAGGCTTACCACCGCGTGTTTGAGTTGCTCTTCAGAAAAAGGGATCAGCAGACAGGAAGGGAGGTGGAAAAAAACAAAGAAGCAGACGACAGTTAGCTCTTTCCTGGAGGTCAGTAGTTTTGATGTGTGCAGTAGTTTAAATTTATCTGATTTTTTATTAAAAACGTTACGCTGCCAGCAGCACTGCATTCAACAAGAGGAAGCGGTGTGGTGAGCAGCTGCTGCCGGCGTTGTAGCTGAGCAGCCTGGCCAGGCAGTGACTGGAGAACCACTGTGGGCACATGGGGAATGCAGTTGCCGCTTCCACCCCTTCTCATGGAGGAGCTGTGCCAGCGTCATCTCTTTCTGTAGTGTGAACGCTGATTCCATTGACTCGGGGTTCAGCCCCCTCTGAAAACTAAACCACCCATCCAGCAATTTTACTTTCTGCTCAGCAGGCCTTGATTTCAACTTGAGGAGAAACATTCTGTTCATGAGCATAATTTTTTACAGCACCCTTTAAAAATTGATTGATATGCTAATTTACAGGGGCTTTGCCATCACCTAAATGAATTGTCACATGCATTTTTCTGTAATGTTCATCTTTTTGGGGACTCTAGGGAGGAAAACTTGATTTTAAGGGGAGTGAGGAAAGCATATTTCTTGACCACTGGGCTGTTTTTTCAGAGAAATAAAAACATTTATTTCCATCTGTCATTTCTTGACTGCAGAGTTCTATATTATGAATTATTTCTAGAGACAACTGGTATTTGTATGTAGGCATTCTTGCTGCCTGAAGTTTATTTACAGTGGAAATGAAACCAAGACAGCCTCGGGGCCTGTAGACCAGTTGCTTTTTCTCAGACTTGAGTTTGAGTGGTTTATTATTTCTTGAGGGTCTGGAGGCATCACCACCACCAAAAATCAATATGTTGCATCAGGTCCCAGTGTTGGCTTTGGCTGCCAACTCATTGACCTGGTTACTAAAGACCCCAAAACTGTCTTGGCACTTGGGATGCCCTGTTTGAGATTAAAATTGTTAAAGTCTCATTGATTCAAGTCACATCACTTCCACTCCAGCCCCACCCCACCCCCCCAAAAAAAAAGAAAGAAAAAGCAGAAAAAAGAAAAAGGAAAAGGGAAAAAACAATGCAGGCACATAGCACAAACATATATATCCCCTTTAATCTAGAGTTAGTGCTGCTACCTGGTAATCAGGATGCTGATGTCCATGCTAGGGGAGAACACTGATACCAAACCCAAAAGGCTTCCTCGGTGTGCACAGGAGTGAGCTCCCAAACAGGGGGGTCCTTCTGACAGCTGGGGAAAGACCTTTTTCCCTGAATCTACGCTTTTATTTCCATTTATTGGATGGGGGCTTAATACATTACTGAGTCCTGTGCCCCTAAAATAGAATACATTATTATGCAGCTGATAACAGATCCTGTGGGCTAGTTTTCATCTTCTACCTTCCTTATTAATGGTGAGCTTGCCTCACAAAAGAGGCAGAGCACAGCTATCAGCCGTAGTGTTGCACTGGACCATGCCCTCTGTGTATTATCTTTAAAAGCTGTAACATTTCCCATGGGCAGTCACTGGAAGCCTGGTTGAATCTGACTCCTCCCTACAGGGCAGGGTGGTGATGTGCTAAGCATGCAGCTCCCTTTGGGCGTTGGCAGAAAGAAAAAACTACATTTGCTGAAGTCCCCTGAAGTCCCATTCTGCATGCACTCTGGCTCAGCTCAAATAGAAGGCTTAGCAAGGATAGAGGTAGGTGTTCAGTGCTTCCCTTGTTTAGCCCCAAAGAAATCAGAATCAGTGAAAGTGCAAAACACAAACCAACCCAAACGTGGTTCTTGAGATCAGCAGCAGTGATTTCACTAATCCTTACTGCTTCTAAACATCTCACACAATCACAGAATTGCAGGGGCAGGAAGGGACCTCAAGAGATCATGAGTCCACCCCCTGCTGAAACAGTTTCCTTACATCAGGTTGCCCAGGTAGGCATCAAGACATGTCTTGAATATCTCCATAGAAGGAGACTCCACAACACCTTTGGGCAGCCTGTTCCAGTGCTCCACCACCTTTACCATAAAGAAGTTCCATGTTTGTATGGAACTTCCTGTATTCAAGTTTTATGCCATTGCTCCTTGTCCTCTCACTACACACCACTGAGAAGAGCCTGGCCTCTCAAGATCTGGAAGGCTCACATTAAAAACTTGTATTGCCAGATAATAACCAAAAGTAGCTGTGTCTTTCTTTCCCTCATTTCTTTCTTCAGCTCAGGAAGCTTAATTTTCTTCTGCCTGGGAGTAGGCAGCTCAAAAGTAGTAATTTTGACTTTATTACCATAATTGATTTCTTCAAAGCATCATGTGAGCCTTCAGTTGAGCACCTCCCTATCTTTAAGAGCAGAAGGCAGTAACACGCTCCTCTTACGGCTGGGGGACTCAAGAAGGATGGTTTCCAAATACCTGGATAGAAGCTGTGCTCCAGGATTCCCAACCAGCTGTCACCTCGCCTTTCACAGCACCTCTACAGAATGGAGAGATGTTGGAGTCAGTGAGGTGCTATGGCACACTGTTTTAAGGCTGAGAAAATATAAAGCATTGTTGAAATGTCCAAATAGGTTTAACAAGTAACGCTGTGAGCATGTTAGACTTGACACAACTTTGGGATTGTTTTCTAATTCCTTCCCAAGTGAAAGAAAAATAAATGAAACAAACAGTGGGCTCTTCTTATGTCTCCATCTCCTCCCTCTGGCTCAGCTCTCCAGGAGCGACTGCAATTTTCTATTTATTTGTGATGTTTCAGTTCACAGAATCATAGAATTGTAGAATGGCTTGGGTTGGAAAGGATCTCAAGGATCATCAGGTTCCAACCCCCTGCTATGGGCAGTATTGCCCACCACTAGATCATGCACTAGATCAGATTGCACAAGGTCCAGTCCAGCCTGGCCTCGAACACTTTCAGGGATAGGGCATCCAAAGCTTCTCTGGGCAGCCTGTTCCAGCATCTCACCACTTTCTCAGTAAAAAAATTCCCCCAACATCTAATCTGAATCTCTCCTTTAGTTAAAAACTGTTCCCACTTGTCCTGTAATTATCTACCTGCATAAAAAGTTGATTTCTCTCTTGTTCATAAGCTCCATTTAAATATAGGAAGGCTGCAATGAGGTTTCCCTGCAACCTTCTCTTCTCTAGGCTGAACAAACCTAGTTCCTTCAGCCTGTTTTCATAGGAGAAATGCTCCAGCCCTTGGATCGTCTTCATAGCCCTCCTCTGGACCCTCTCCAATGGCTCCACATCTTTCCTGTGTTGTGGGCCCTATACTTGGATGCAGTATTCCAATTGGGGCCTCATGAGGGTAGAACAGAGGCAGACAATTCCCTCCCTGTCCAAGCTGGCCACCCCTCTTATGATGGAACCCAGGATACCATGAGTTTTCTGGGCTGCAAGCACACAGTGCTGGCTCATATTAAGTTTTTCATTAGCCAGGACCCCTAAAGTCCTTCTCAGGACTTAGCAGGCTGAAGTTCCTTACCACAGAACTTGGGTATTAGAAGGAGAAAAAAAAACAACAAACCAGCAACAAAGTACCCTGGTGTATTTTGTGAAAGGGCTTTGGCTTCAGGAGTTCCAAAATCTCAATGGCAGCACCAGGAAAGCAGAGCTAAACCCTCCCAGATGATCTCTCTCCTGGCACATCTGCTCATCTCGCAGTTGTAGCCTTTAGATGAGAGGTTTGTAAACTGCAGCAGCGTATCAGCTGTAACCAGCGCTGCTATTCCAGGAGAAAGCCGCATGGCTCAGGGACAGCTGCGTGCAAAAAAATTCTCTTCTGATGCATTATTGATAGATGTAAGTTAAAGCCATAGAGCTTGCAGCTTTATCAGACAATATCTACTAAATCCTGGAAGCATGTAAGATAACCTAAATGTAATCTACTGCATACCAGCTCCTTCAGTGATGGATAGCACAACAAAAGCAGGACTAATGAAAAATTAATGAAAACAGTTACTTCCATAAGAAAAATGATCGGTTTTCTCCCACCTTTGTATTGATTTTAACTGGCCCTGTAATTGGAAGTGTATAATTTTTTCCTAAGGTGAAGAGGATTGAGGGCAAGGGAGAGTGAGCGTATCATTCTATTCATGTTTGCGACATACTTTCAGGCTACAAAAACAAAGCGTTTTCCTTAGGATGCTGAAGCCGCCTGTGAATGCAGACTTCAAGCATATT